TCGAACAACCCATTGTTGGGTTGCTGCCACCGAATTGGTAGTTTTAACAAAATTTTGCAGTTTTTTGTTATTATTTTGAATATTATTATAGATATATATAAACTGTAAGCAGCAATAATGTTCAGCAAAGTAAGATCTACGAAAAAGTTAATATGACCATAATTGTCAATTGACTCCTTAAGGAGTAATTGCCCTTTAAAGACAATTTTACACAATTTGTTCATCAAGTTTGCTAACATTTAAAAATCTTCTCCTCTGAAACTACTGGGCCAATTACCTTCAAACTTTAAATAAATGTTCCTTAGGGTATCTTGTTTATAAATTGTATCCGAAGTTTGTATCCATCGACAAACATGGCCGCCATGGCTAAAAATAGAACATAAGGGTCAAATGCAGTTTTTGGCTTATATCTCAAAAACTAAATCTTTTAGAGCAAATGTGAAGGGGTAAAATTGTTTAATTGGTCAAGATCTATTGGCCCTGAAATTTTCAGACGATTCGAACAACCCATTGTTGGGTTGCTGCCACCGAATTGGTAGTTTTAACAAAATTTTGCAGTTTTTTGTTATTATTTTGAATATTATTATAGATATATATAAACTGTAAGCAGCAATAATGTTCAGCAAAGTAAGATCTACGAAAAAGTTAATATGACCATAATTGTCAATTGACTCCTTAAGGAGTTATTGCCCTTTAAAGACAATTTTACACAATTTGTTCATCAAGTTTGCTAACATTTAAAAATCTTCTCCTCTGAAACTACTGGGCCAATTACCTTCAAACTTTGAATAAATGTTCCTTAGGGTATCTTGTTTATAAATTGTATCCGAAGTTTGTATCCATCGACAAACATGGCCGCCATGGCTAAAAATAGAACATAAGGGTCAAATACAGTTTTTGGCTTATATCTCAAAAACTAAATCTTTAAGAGCATATGTGACGGGGTAAAATTGTTTAATTGGTCAAGATCTAATGGCCCTGAAATTTTCAGACGATTCGAACAACCCATTTTGGGTTGCTGCCACCGAATTGGTAGTTTTAACAAAATTTTGCAGTTTTTTGTTATTATTTTGAATATTATTATAGATATATGTAAACTGTAAGCAGCAATAATGTTCAGCAAAGTAAGATCTACGAAAATGTTAATATGACCATAATTGTCAATTGACTCCTTAAGGAGTTATTGCCCTTTAAAGACAATTTTACACAATTTGTTCATCAAGTTTGCTAACATTTAAAAATCTTCTCCTCTGAAACTACTGGGCCAATTACCTTCAAACTTTAAATAAATGTTCCTTAGGGTATCTTGTTTATAAATTGTATCCGAAGTTTGTATCCATCGACAAACATGGCCACCATGGCTAAAAATAGAACATAAGGGTCAAATGCAGTTTTTGGCTTATATCTCAAAAACTAAATCTTTTAGAGCAAATGTGAAGGGGTAAAATTGTTTAATTGGTCAAGATCTATTGGCCCTGAAATTTTCAGACGATTCGAACAACCCATTGTTGGGTTGCTGCCACCGAATTGGTAGTTTTAACAAAATTTTGCAGTTTTTTGTTATTATTTTGAATATTATTATAGATATATATAAACTGTAAGCAGCAATAATGTTCAGCAAAGTAAGATCTACGAAAAAGTTAATATGACCATAATTGTCAATTGACTCCTTAAGGAGTTATTGCCCTTTAAAGACAATTTTACACAATTTGTTCATCAAGTTTGCTAACATTTAAAAATCTTCTCCTCTGAAACTACTGGGCCAATTACCTTCAAACTTTAAATAAATGTTCCTTAGGGTATCTTGTTTATAAATTGTATCCGAAGTTTGTATCCATCAACAAACATGGCTGCAATGGCTAAAAATAGAACATAAGGGTCAAATGCAGTTTTTGGCTTATGTCTCAAAAACTAAATCTTTTAGAGCAAATGTGAAGGGGTAAAATTGTTTAATTGGTCAAGATCTATTGGCCCTGAAATTTTCAGACGATTCGAACAACCCATTGTTGGGTTGCTGCCACCGAATTGGTAGTTTTAACAAAATTTTGCAGTTTTTATACGACCGCAAAAATTAAAAAATTTTTAGTCGTATATTGGTATGGCGTCGGCGTCGTCTGAAGACACATTGGTTTTCGCACTCTAACTTTAGTTTAAGTGAATGGATCTCCATGAAATTTTACCATAAGGTTCAATACCACGAAAGGAAGGTTGGGATTGATTTTGGGGGTTATGGTACCAACAGTTAAGGAATTGGGGGCCAAAAAGGGGCCAAAAATAAGCATTTTTGTAACTTCCAGACAATAACTTGTGTGTAAGTGTATGGATCTCTCTGACATTGTACCACAAGGTTCCATATCACAAAAGGAAGGCTGTAATTGATTTTGGGGGTAATTGCCTCAAAATTTTAGGAATTAGGGGCCAAAAAAGGGGCAAAAAACAAGCATTTTTCTAGTTTCATGACAATAACCTGTGTGTAAGTGTTTGGATATTTCTGAAATTGTACTACAAGGTTCCATATCACAAAGGGAAAGCTGGAATTGAGTTTGGGGGTAATTGCCCGAAACGTTTAGGAATTGGGGGCCAAAAATAAGCATTTTTCTAGTTTCCAGACAATAACTTGTGTTCAAGTGTATGGATCTCTCTGAAATTGTACTGCAAGGTACCATACCACAAAGGGAAGGCTGGGATTGAGTTTGGGGGTGATGAATCATAAGGGGGTTCAAAAAATTTGGGGGGGGATTTTTTTTTTTTCTTTTTTTCCTTTTTTTTTCTTTTAAAATTTTCCATTTTAAGTTGGTTATTTCTGATTTATATTTAAAAGCAAATAATAATGATATGGTAGGAGATAAACACCAAACAGGATGTGTAAATTATTTTATAATAAGTATTGTGCAATAGCAAGAAATTTTCAATTGCACAGTATTGCACAATAGCAAGAAATCTTCAATTGCACAGTATTGCGCAATAGCAAGAAATCTTCAATTGCACAGTATTGCGCAATAGCAAGAAATATCCATTGGCACAATATTGCGCAATAGCAAGAAATTGTCAATTGTACAGTATTGCGCAATAGCAAGAAATATTCAATTGCACAGTATTGTGCAAAAGAAGATACTTCGTATAAATTGCTTATTTCTTGATCAATTTCAATGGGGTTTTATTCTTGAATTCTTGGGGTTCTTTAATATGCTGAATCTAACCGTACATTAAGTTTTTGGATTTTGGGCCCCGTTTTTAAATTGGTCCACATTGAGGTCCAAAGGGTCCAAAATTTAACTTTGTTTGATTTCATCAAAAATTGAATTATTGGGGTTCTTTGATATGCCGAATCTAACCGTGTATTTAGATTCTTAATTTTTGGTTCCGTTTTCAAATTGATCTACATTAAGGTCCAAAGGGTCCAAAATTAAACTTAGTTTGATTTTAACAAAAATTGAATTTTTAGGGTTCTTTGATATGCTGAATCTAAACATGTATTTAGATTTTTGATTATGGGCCCAGTTTTCAAGTTGGTCCAAATCGGGGTCCAAAATTAAACTTTGTTTGATTTCAACAAAAATTGAATATATTGGGTTCTTTGATATGCTGAATCTAACCATGTATTTGGATTTTTTATTTTTGGGCCACGTTATCAACTTTGTCCACATTGAGGTCAAAAGGGTCCAAAATTAAACTTTGTTTGATTTCATCAAAAATTGAATTCTTGGGGTTCTTTGATATGCTGAATCTAACCATGTATTTAGATTTTGGATATTGGACCATAATAGGTGAATGTCCAATTTAAAATTTTTAAGTTCTTAGACCACATTCATTCTGTGTCAGAAACCTATGCTGTGTCAAATATTTAATCACAATCCAAATTCAGAGCTGTATCAAGCTTGAATGTTGTGTCCATACTTGCCCCAACTGTTCAGGGTTCGACCTCTGCGGTCGTATCAAGCTGCGCCCTGCGGAGCATTTTATTTGTTATTATTTTGAAAATTATTATAGATATATATAAACTGTAAGCAGCAATAATGTTCAGCAAAGTAAGATCTACGAAAAAGTTAATATGACCATAATTGTCAATTGACTCCTTAAGGAGTTATTGCCCTTTAAAGACAATTTTACACAATTTGTTCATCAAGTTTGCTAACATTTAAAAATCTTCTCCTCTGAAACTACTGGGCCAATTACCTTCAAACTTTAAATAAATGTTCCTTAGGGTATCTTGTTTATAAATTGTATCCGAAGTTTGTATCCATCGACAAACATGGCCGCCATGGCTAAAAATAGAACATAAGGGTCAAATGCAGTTTTTGGCTTATATCTCAAAAACTAAATCTTTTAGAGCAAATGTGATATGGGGTAAAATTGTTTTAATTGGTCAAGATCTATCGGCCCTGAAATTATCAGATGAATCGAACAACCCATTGTTGGGTTGCTGCCACCGAATTGGTAGTTTTAACAAAATTTTGCAGTTTTTTGTTATTATTTTGAATATTATTATAGATATATATAAACTGTAAGCAGCAATAATGTTCAGCAAAGTAAGATCTACTAAAAAGTTAATATGACCAAAATTGTCAATTGACCCCTAAAGGAGTTATTGCCCTTTAAAGACAATTTTACACAATTTGTTCATCAAGTTTGCTAACATTTAATAATCTTCTCCTCTGAAATACAGGTGAGTGATTCAGGCTCTTGAGAGCCTCTTGTTTATGATTGTAAATGTAGTAAAATGTGACCTTAAATGACAACTTGACTTTACGTATGTTTTACTCATCTACAATGTATTTTTAGTAGTAAAACACTGTTTGAAAAAAAGTATTCTAATCAGTTTGTGCTGATCTGAGATTTTCATATTTTAACATTTAAAACAGTCCAAATGAAATAAGATAAGCCATTCAAATATATAAAACATCTCCTATAGGATAGAAATTTACAATGCATACACTTCAGATGTCAAGATTAAATATTCATTTTAATATTTATTCAAGGGAAAATTTTTCATTTGATAGGTGCAGGATTCTCATCTGTTGAATTCAAGTGGAGAAAATGATGTTTGGGAAACAAAAAAAGGCAATGCAGCCGTTTATGCTATTCAAGGGAGGCGCCCCCATATGGAGGACCGGTTTAGCATAGTTTATGATTTAGAACATACTAAATCTTCAATCTATGGAATATTTGATGGACATGGTGGAGAGGTATTTATAACATTAACAAAGAATACGTTGACAGAGACTGTACATTGTATGTCTTTTCAGTTCTTTGTGTCCTTTTTTGCTGTCTCATTGATGTTCAGCCAACATTTCCTAAACTGACATTCCTGTTGTAGATGTGTATTAAAACATGTTTAGTCTTCCTCGTACATTAAGTGTTTTTATTTACACTTATTTTACAATATAAACAATATGAGATCTTCTAGGAATAAAAAGTTTCCTTTTAATGTAAATTCATTCATTAGGTGTGCTCATTTAACTCAATGATTACAAATATTATTTCTATTAATTATACTCCTTCTATTTGTAGTCGCCACCATTCATCAATGGAAGAATAAAATATGGTTTTAATTTATGCACACAGCTCCTCCAGTCTTTCCACAAGTGATATTGATCACTTTGATTTGTTTTGCATTTTGAACTGGATAATGATGAAATGAAATTGTTTATGAAATTTTATACCCCCATTTCTGAAGGAAGAGGGTATATTGAACATGTGTATATGTGTCTACCTCTCTGTCAACCAGTAGAATTTTTTTTTCATTTTTCTCAAAAACTACAAATCCGAGCTTCCTGAAATTTGGTATGAATCATCATGTAAATGCTATACTGAGTGATGCCTATTGACATATGTTGCTCATCAACTTCCTTTTACTAAATACTTACTGGTATATATTCTAAAAGATAATGGTCATTTATGAAATTTTTGTCCATTTTTCTCAGGAACTACATATAAGAGCTTTTTGATATCAAGCTTTATGTGAGAATGGTATTTGATGTGATGCATTTGGACACCCATCATCACTTATCAACTTCCTGTTTACTGAATACTTATAGCAAGGGTATCATAAGTGAGCAAAACATTACAGAACATCTGGTTTGTTCTGAGGTTTTTAGTATGCAGCAAACTTTATTTAGAAGACATTGTAAAAACTTTTCTGTTTTGTAGTTTGCATCAGAATTTATCCAGAAGATATTGTAAAAACTTTTGTGTTTTGTAGTTTGCAGCAGACTTTGTGGAGAAGACATTGTTTAAGAAGATGATGATAAGATTACTGAAATCTTCTCTAGATCACAGTCAAGTCAACATATCGCAAATGATAATGCAGGAGATGTTAGATGTTGATGATCAGCTACTCAAGGTCACAAGGTCAAACATGGACATATCAGGTATGTTGATCATCAGCTACTTATGGTCGCAAGATCAAACATGGATGCATCAGGTATGTCGATGATCAATTCTGGAAGTCACAAGGTCAAACATGGACATATCAGGTATGTTGATCATCAGCTACTTATGGTCGCAAGATCAAACATGGATGTATCAGGTATGTCGATGATCAATTCTGGAAGTCACAAGATAAAAAATAGACATATCAGGTGAGTTAATGATCAGTTATTGAAGGTCACAAGTTCAAAATGGAAATATCATGTAAGTTATTGATCAATTACTGAAGGTCACAAGGTCAAACATGGACTTATGAGGTAAATTGTTGATCATTTACTGAATATCACAAGGTCAAACATGGATGTATCAGGTATGTTGATGATCAATTTCTGGAAGTCACAAGGTCAAACATAAACATATCAGGTGAGTTAATGATCAGTTATTGAAGGTCACAAGGTCTAAATGGTAATATCATGTAAGTTATTGATCAGCTACTGAAGGTCACAAGGTCAAACATAAACATATGAAGTAAGTTGTATATCATTTACTGAATATCACATGGTCAAACATGGACATATCAGGTAGGTTGATGATAGGTTATGTGGGTCACTCAGTAGTAATTGGGAAATATTACAGGAAATATCAACTTCTAAAAACGAAAAAGTCTATGATCTTATAGCATTTTTTTCTTGACCAGTTAATAAGAGCTCATACTCTACAAAAGCGGTCTACTTTACACTTGTAACTTAAATGAGAATAAAACAGCAGTAGGACTAACAACTAGCATATCCATTGACACCAAATGCAGAAATACTAAAACTTATGAAGTACCCTAAGAATTAACATCATATGTATATTTACTCTATATACATTTGGTAACATTCAAAGAAAACTGAGTAGTAATAATGGAGTCATGTGAACGCACACACACCTAGTCACCCCTCACCCATTTATCCGAAGTGAACGACTCAGAATGACATAAGTCAATTCTGGAAAGTGTCCTGTTGCATCAAGAAATGACTTTTGTCAAAGTAAAGGAACAGAGAGAATGATCTAGTTTAAATCAGTTAGTTTTGATTTTCGGAAACTCCTAAGAAAAATTCTGGTCATTTGAAGGAAGACAGGAACAAAATGTTTGACAAATAAAGGTTTCTATAAATGTTCCATTGACATCAGTTCAGTTGTAGATAAGAGATATGTATACCATCTATCCTGGCCTACAGACATACACTAACCCACTCCCCCTTTTCCCTCACAAAATGCTCATACTCGAGTTGAAAAATTAAGTATATAATAAATACATTTAAAATAACTTTGTCATGGGATTTTGTGTTATTATTATAAAGGGTGATTGTTCAATGAATAACATTGATCCTTTCCATGTTTATTTCATAGCAAGAACTTTGAATCAAATAGAAAAAGTTCTGACTCAATTTGTTTTAATTAGAAGTTTTGACAATTAAGGAATGGTTTCCAGAATACCCTTGCTACCTCAATATAATGTCAAGTCTTCTTATAACCTACATGGAATAAGAAATTTTAAAAAATTAATAATATAAAGCATTGGTATTTGATCAGTTTAAGTATCACTATACCATATAAAAATAAGGAAATGTTTAATGATTGTCAATGAGACTATTATCCACCAGAGACCAAAGGATGAGAATGTAAACAACTATGTCAATGAGACTATTATTAGGGCCCCGCCGAATGGCTCTATATCTAGAGAACCGTTATGATTTCAAAGTTTATACTTGACATGTATATTAACCATCACCAGAGGGTGTGTCATAATGTATGTTCAACTTTCTAGGTCAAAGGTCAAGGTCAAAAAATTTGGTTTTAGTTGACAACCCCATGTCCTATGGTAAAGATCGTGTCCGCTCTATATTTTGAGAACCGTTATGATTTCAAAGTTTATACTTGATATGTATATTAACCAACACCAGAGGGTGTGTCATAATGTATGTTCAACTTCCTAGGTCAAAGGTCAAGGTCAAAAACTTTGGTTTTAGTTGACAACCCCATGTCCTATGGTAAAGATCGTGTCCGCTCTATATCTTGAGAACCGTTATGAGTTTAAAGTTTATACTTGATATGTATATAAACCAACACCAGAGGGTGTGTCATAATTTATGTACAACTTCCTAGGTGAAAGGTCAAGGTCAAAAACTTTGGTTTCATTTGACAACCCCATGTCCAATGATAAAGATACAAATTTTTTACCACACATTATTCACAGCGGGGCCCACAGAGATGGCTCCCATCTCAATGATATCTAGTTCTCCAGAGACCATAGGATGAGAATGTAAACAACTATGTCAATGAGACTATTATCCACCAGAGACCATAGGATGAGAATGTAAACAACTATGTCAATGAGACTATTATCCACCAGAGACCATAGGATGAGAATGTAAACAACTATGTCAATGAGACTAGACACTTTTAAAGCATTTTTTATGTCACAATTTTTCATTGGCTAAAAGTTACCATCAAATCCACAGTTGACCTGTCGTAACTAACTAGTGTCCATTGTCAACAAAAATAGAAAATGCCTAACTGTGAAAATAAGTTGGTTAACAGTAAACTAATTTTAGAAAAATGTTCATTATCGTTAGCAAATATTCACCAATATTTTATGTGATATAATTGACAGGAACAACAGCTGTTTTAGCATTGGTACAAGATGGAACATTGACAGTAGCTAATGTTGGCGACTCCAGGGGTGTACTGTGTGACAAAGCAGGACAAGCTGTGCCAGTATCATTTGATCATAAACCACATTTGGTAATTAAAATCTTGTATTTGTATTTTGGTTCTCTAGTCTCCAAGCAGTGAAATAATTATAAATTGTTTTGCTTTATTGAAATGTCAATGTCTTGTGTGTCTGAATGGCCTCTGTTTTATTTACTTCATTCTAAGATTACAAAATATAATTTACGAGGATGGAAGTTTAATATTTCTAAATGGTCTATTTTGAAGATACATGTACACAACACTAATAAATATCACATTTGTTTCTGGCATAGGTTAAACATTATTATTTGTACGTTGTTCAGAAACATTTTGATAACTTTTAATGTGAGCATTCATGTCTTACTAACACATTTAGTTCTATTAACACATATTTGTTTTACAGGTACAGGAAAGACAGAGAATCAGAAATGCTGGAGGGTTTATCAGTTTCAATGGAGTCTGGAGAGTAGCTGGTATACTTGCCATGTCCAGAGCCTTAGGAGACTATCCACTAAAAGATAAAAACCTTGTGATAGCTAATCCTGATATTTTGACTTTTAACATTAGTGACCTTCAGCCTCCATTTATGATCTTAGCAACAGATGGATTGTGGGATGTGTTCTCTAATCAAGAAGCTGTTGATTATATCAGTGAACGATTACATGAACCTCATTATGGTGCCAAGAGTTTAGTCCTTCAGGCCTACTACAGAGGGTCTCTAGACAATATTTCTGTCCTGGTTGTTAACTTTAAAGAAAAAAAATCAGCTTCATTTGATAAACAACCTAATCGGTGATAACAACATATTATTTAGGAATCTGTTTAAGGGAAAGGGTTAACAGATTTTTTTATATAAAAGGTGATAAGTACTTTAAATCAGTTGTTGTAATTAACCTAGTTTAAGATATCTATTTTTGAATAATAATTTTTAAATGACAAAGGTTGAGGTATAAACTGTCTCAAAGGTTGAAGTATAAACTGCCAGTGCTTCTTGGTCTACACCAAGGATCTGGAATTTTTTAACACAATTTCAGTCATTTTGAGATAACTTAAAAGTTGGACCCCTTTTTCAACTGTCGAAATTATTCACACTAGATTTATAGCATCAACGAACTTGTGTTGACTGTTTACTTCATGAATTTTCTTACCGTTTTTTCTAAAAACATAAAAGAACAGTTAATGGAATGCAACAGCTTAAAATTGAAATGATTTTAATGACTCAAAATGGTGAATTTCTCATACATTGCTAACGTTTCTTTTGATTTTGCAGATGAAATTAAAATCGGAAGCTTCATGACAATGTTAAAGTACGAGTAATTCCAGATTCATTTCTGGGATTCGTTCTCTTTATCAAATTGACCGGAAATCATGGGATATTTAATTTTATTACCTTTAAATGTGTTGATTATAACAGATAATAGTTGCATTCGTTTAATTTAGCATGAAATCATTTTGTATTTTACGATTAAGTGTCTAATCTGATGAAGACAATTTCACGCAAGCGTATTACATTGTTGATAAAGCACACGTTTGACTCGTGAAAAATTACTTCTTTCTACGTAAATTAAATCAAGTTTTAATTTTTACAATCAGAATTGCCAATTATCTTTGCTGAAAAGTAATTAAATAATGAGAAAGTTGTCATAGAATTTTAATTTCTTTATAATATTAGTTCTGGGCTTGTGATCACTCTCAGGTGTGAATTAAAAAAACAGGTAAAAAGTTATTAGCGATCATTAGCCAATATTTCCCGGAGGCATTAATATGTTTATTGGGAGGGCCCTCAGGATTATCATACTATAATGGAGGGGCAGATTTCTTATAGGAAAGGGATTACAAAAGTGCAAAATGGCGATAATGAAACCCGATCTCAATGAAATGACCGAAATTATTTCTGTAAAAAAAATTAATTTGTCCTAAATCCCAATCTGCCGTTTAGGACATGACTGGCAAATATGACTGTTTCCGGACCCTTGGTCTACATCCATTAGATGTATCATTTTCTTACAATAGAGTAATGTAGCAGGGATCCAGTAGGAAATTATAGTACATAAAATCAGTACATGGTACAGTAAGTCAGTAACCTATATTACATGTACTGTCATACTATTCTATTGTTACAGTAAACAAATCTTGAATGCCGTTCAACAGCAAAATCCAATGTACATGGGTACAAGGCTAATTTTTTTATCTCCTTCAAAAATTGCAACAATGGTATCCACTGTTTTGATGGAGAGATAACCTAAATGCATGTGATGTAGACATATTTAATATTCAAGGGATAAGTAAGATAATTACGGTTAACCTCCAAAATTTGAAAATTTTATATCACAAGTTTGATTCACAAATATATTTTTCATAAAAAGAAGCATGCTTGAATGATAAATCCTAAAATTGACTCACTACAACAAGAAGTAATAAATAGGGTACATCTAAAAGAAGAGAGGTAAAGAGATGTAAATATGATTTAAGGATTTAAATTTGATTTTCTTTTGTCCACAGTATATTGGAAAATACATGTTAAGGGAAAATGTTAAAGTTAAATCATCTGATTCTCCATCTTTTAAATGGTAAGATTTTTAGTAACTTATATTGGTTTTGTTTTCAGTTACATTCCAAAAAAAAGCAACCTGTGTCTAGTTACTATTGTTATACTAATCATTCCAGTCAATAAATCAACAGGAATATGTTTTGTTTTCTATTATTCTGCTGTTTTCACAATGAATGAGTTTTCTTTTTATATATAGCTAGAATTGGGGAGTATTTGTCTTGAAACAAAATTTTTTCTGATTTTTAATGTACAACATAAATAATGTGTATGTTTTTAATGTACAACATAAATAATGTGTATGTTTTTAATGTACAACATAAATAATGTGTATGTTTTTAATGTACAACATTGATAATGTGTATGTTTTTAATGTATTAACATTTGTATACAACTCAGGTTTAATTAGACTAACTGGTTGTGAAGGAATGTGATAAACTAAATATGAATTGGAAATAATATAAAAATAAGGAGATATGCCCACAGAGGTATTGCCATCAATGACATATATATACAATGTATATGAATAAGGGAATGTTGTAGGATTGCCAATGAGGCAGCTAGCCACCTAAGACATAATTATAAAAGTGAACAAATCTGAATTTTAATTTAAATTCACTTTAATACAAAAAGGAAAAAATAACAAACAAATAAAACGTTTCACCGGGAATATTAAACCTTACAGTCAGTGAGTTGTTAAAGCAGATTCTCACATTTTACACATACTGCAGTCTGTCACTACGTATTTGGAATATAATACAAAAACTGGAGAAATTAAAGAACCTTAGTGAGCGCGCTCACATACCCCACGTCCCCACATTGTCATTAGAGAAATAAAATAAGTGTAAGAAAAAAAAATTGAATCATAATTTCCTGTCAATATGCACATCTACATAGTATGTCCTTATTATCTACACAGTTTCATGAAATTCTGTTGAGTGGTTTGAGAGGAGTTGCGATGACAAAAGGTTGCAGTAGTATATTGGGCAAATAAGTTCAAAGGGGCGTTACTCCTGGAAAAAAATTGAATCGTAATTTCCTGTCGATATGCACATCTACGTAGTATGTCCTTATTATCTGAAAAGGTTTCATGAAATTCTGTTGAGTGGTTTGAGAGGAGTTGCGATGACAAAAGTTTGCAGTAGTATATTGGGCAAATAAGTTCAAAGGGGCGTAACTCCTGGAAAAAAAATTGAATCGTAATTTCCTGTCGATATGCACAACTACGTAGTATGTCCTTATTATCTGAAAAGGTTTCATGAAATTCTGTTGTGTGGTTTGAGAGGAGTTGCGATGACAAAAGGTTGCAGTAGTATATAAGGGCAAATAAGTTCAAAGGGGCGTAACTCCTGGAAAATGATTGAATCGTAATTTCCTGTCGATATGCACATCTACGTAGTATGTCCTTATTTTCTGAAAAGGTTTCATGAAATTCTGTTGTGTGGTTTGAGAGGAGTTGCGATGACAAAAGGTTGCAGTAGTATATTGGGCAAATAAGTTCAAAGGGGCGTAACTCCTGGAAAAATAATTGAATCGTAATTTCCTGTCGATATGCACATCTAAGTAGTATGTCCTTATTATCTGAAAAGGTTTCATGAAATTCTGTTGTGTGGTTTGAGAGGAGTTGCGATGACAAACTGTTGCAGTAGTACATTAAAGTAAATAAGTTCAAAGGGGCGTAACTCCTAGAAAAAGAATTGAATCTTAATTTCCTGTCGATATGCACAACTACATAGTATGTCCTTATTATCTAAAAAGGTTTCGTGAAATTCTGTTGTGTGGTTTGAGAGGAGTTGCGATGACAAGAAACAGGACTGACGGACTGACAGACTGACAGACTGACGGACGGACGGACGGACGGACGGACGGGTCAAAAACATTATACCCTCCGCAACTCGTTGCGTGGGGTATAATAATTTACTGTGCCTTTAATTATCATGAGGGCTTTTTCATTAAAAAACACTTAGACCCACCTTAGGAAAGCTTTTTTTTAAAATAGGGTAGCCACCTACAGCATCAATGTTACACTTTTAATTGCATTTTTTTTTCTCCAAAAAATGCTGCAAAAGTTACCCACTTAAAGAAGCATTTTCAAAGTTCCTTCTGGGACATTGGTTGCTGAGTAGTCTTAAGTAGTTCATCCTCCTCAGCCTGTCAACACTGAGTTCCAACCCTTCTTGTGGCAAGGTGCATTTGGCTGCAATCTTATTTGAGGTTGAGAGTTAGAACCTGCCAGTGATAAGGTGGTTTCACTCGGTTCTTAATTTACTATGACTTCCAGTTTTCCTGTCCACGGTCAGTGGTTCTCACAGGGAACACTGGCTTCCCCAACCAGTCAAAACTGGCTGTTATGAAATAACCAAGAAATCTAAATTAAATCCTGGTGGTGTTTGTTAAATGGAACAGTCCTAAAATCATAAATCTTCATCTGCTTTGGTACCAAAAAATTATCTGCAATCATGTTCAAATAAATGTTTTTTGTTCCCAACTGTATTTGTAGATCATTGTAAGAATACTATTAATATACAAATAATCTCAGTTTAATTTATAAGTTAGTTTATTAAGAATAATGTATTATTATTATTGAAGTAGTTATAGTGCCATTTTTTCATTGATATACACATGTAAAATGTGGGGTATTATAACAATGCAATATATTATCACATGTAGTTTTGTATTCACAATAGATGTCCTTGGCTACTTGATAGATGATAACTGTTAAATGTAGTAATAATGTAACGAAAGTAGTAGATTTGGTGATTATTTCTTGTGTAATTTCAGTATATGATGTAGTGTTTGATAGTTTCTGCATGTCTGGAAACCATTTTTATCAAGCCTGCGAAATTTATTTCCCAAAAGCAAGACATAGTGATCCTAGATTCCGTCTGCGTTGCCAGCAGAGTCAACATTAAGTTCAATCTGTAATTTAAGTGTTTTAGACATCAATAACTTTGTCAAACATACATGGAATTTTATGAAATTTGGACAGAAGCTTGCATTGTTCATGACCAAAATATAGTATCCAGAGCAAAATTTTGAAAAAATTATTTTCATTTTTCCGTATTTTACTAATAAATGGACTTAGTTTTATTAACAGTTAACATTCAGATTTAGTCTGAGGTTAAAGATTTTCAGTCATCAATAACTTTGTCAAACCTTCATGGAATTTTATGAATTTGGACAGAAGCTTGTTTATGACCAAAATACAGTATCCAGAGCTAGTTTTTGAAAATATTTTATTTTCATTTTTCCGTATTTTATTAATAAATGGACTTAGTTTTATTTAACAGTTAACATTCAGTCTGAGGTTAAAAGTTTTTCAGTCATCAATAACTTTGTCAAACCTTCATGGAATTTTATGAAATTTGGACGTTAGCTTGTTTATAATAAAAAAACAGTATCCTGAGCAACATTTTGAAAATATTTAATTTCATTTTTCTGTATTTTGCAATAAATGGACTAAGTTTTTTTTAAAGGTTAACATTCAGATTTATTCTGGGGTTAAAAGTTTTTTTTAGACATCAATAACTTTGTCAAACCTACATGGATTTTTTTGAAATTTGGACAGAAGCTTGTTTATGACCAAAATACAGTATCCAGAGCAAATTTTTGAAACTATTTATTTTCATTTGTCAAACTTTCATAGAGTTTTATGAAATCCTACATGGATTTTGTGGAAATTTGGACAGAAGCTTGTTTATGACCAAAATACAGTATCCAGAGCAAATTTTTGAAAATAATTAATTTCATTTTTCTGTATTTTGCGGATAAATGGACTTAGTTTTTTTTACAGTTAACATTCAGATTTAGTCTGGGGTTAAAAAATTTTTTTTTAGACATCAATAACTTTGTCAAACCTACATGGAATTTTTTGAAATTTGGACAGAAGCTTGTTTATGACCAAAATACAGTATCCAGAGCAAATTTTTGAAACTATTTATTTTCATTTGTCAAACTTTCATAGAGTTTTATGAAATTTTGGCAGAAGCTTTTTAATGATTAAGAGATACTGTCAGAAGCAAACCTTTGAAAATATATATTTTTCATTTTTAGTATTTTTCTGATAGATGGACTTTGTTTTTTACAGTCTTGGATTAAATTTTTTTTTGTTGATATGATTAATTTTTAACTTTCATGTTATGAAACTTTGACAGAAGCTAATATGTAAGACCCAGAAATAGCATCTAAAGAAAACATTTGAATTTTTTTTAAATTATGTATTTTACTGATAAATGGACTGACTTTTTAAGTCAACATTACACTTTTACACTGACAGCAGCAATTGCAGGTGAGACACAGGGTTCCACGGAACCCCTTACAAATTTTTAAGAAATGCAGATATTAAAAAAAATCATTTTGTAAGATTCAGATAGAGGAATTTAAATGAAGATTCTTTATGTGCCTGTCCCAAGTCAGGGGCCTGTAGTTCAGTGGTTGTCGTTGGTTCATGTCTGTCATATTTGTTTTTCGTAAATTGTTTTGTTATAAATTAGGCCGTTAGTTTCCCAATTGAATTGTTTCATATTTTTCATGTCAGGGCCTTTTATAGCCCACTATATGGTACGAGTTTTTCTCATTGTTGAAGGCCGTACAGTTGCCTATAATTGCTTACATCCACTTCATTTGAACTTTGGTGGATAGTTGTCTCATTGGCAATCATACCACATCTCCTTATTTTTTTATATAATCATTCATTGATACTGTTGAATGAGCATATTTTGAGCAGCATCAGTTTTTCATGAATGATATGTCTTAAAGAATTGTGAAAGGGTTTTTTTTAACATGTAAAGAGTATAAAATATCCTGACATTTCAAATATATTATCCAAAACCAAAGATGTAAATGGAAACCATCATCCAAAATATTTTTGTGAAAATGATGCTGAACCCCTAAACACTTTTACATTGTAGTACATCATTTTTTACAATAAAACTTAATTTGCAATAATATGACAGATTGTACAAGTTAATATGTAAGGTTCCACATTTTTCATGTCAGGGCCTTTTATAGTCAGCTATACAGTATGGGTTTTCCAATTGTTGAAGGCCTATAATTGCTTACATCCACTTCATTTGAACTTTGGTGGATAGTTGTCTCATTGGCATTCATACCATATCTCCTTATTTTTATATAGGTGATGT